CTTAATTAAACTATGTGGACCTTGAACAAATGACTTAAGAGGAACCTGGAACCTGTGGCTGGACCAGTTGAGAGCCACTGGTCTAGATTGTTTTGGTGTGAGTTGCTGAGTGTTGGGGCGGATATCTTGGCGGATATCTTGCCTTCTCTTGAAAATAACGGAACTAGATGGCACTGGGCTTGTGGTGTTCAATTCTCCCAAAAACTTTTGAACTATTACCTTTCTACCGAATTCACCATGCAGAAGGAAGGCTGCAATCTTGTCATGGACAAGAGCCTCATGCTCATGACAGCATTAGATGTAAACATTATGGCGTCATCCTCGGCTGAGCTGTAACATTAGTTAGCTTAGTGGTGCTAGGTCAGTTAGCAGTAGAAGCACGCTTGGCAGGTGTAGTTTGGTAGAAAGAAAATAGTTCCTACATAGGACTGCTCACAACAAGGTCTGTGGATTATCTTGAGTAACCAGGTCATGATCTCTGGATCTGACATTGCTGTGTACCTTCTAGTTCCATTATCTTGGAGAGAAGGTAGACATCTCTACGGCCGATATCTCCAACACTTGGCAGCTCACATTGAAACAATCTAGACTGATAAACAGCCCTACAGGTTAGAGGAAAGACACCTGTGTCTGACTTTGGGGTGGACTGTCCCTTTGTTTCATCTCTACAAATAAATCTCCATTGTAACTGTAATCCTTTTCAATCTCTTTCACCATTTGAAACTCAGTATGCTTTTAAGGTGTATGATCAGCACTCACAGTCGTCATTAACCCTTAACAGAACTGGGGGAAGTTACAGCATTGTCAAAGTGACTCATTCCTTGCCATGAAAAAGTAAGTCAGAGTAGCTTTGAGTTACCGGAAAACTAAACCGCAAAAGGCTAATGCATGTGATGTCACCACAGGTGTTTTCCACTGGCTGCCATATACCTACTGTTACATCACAAGTGAAAAAAGGCTGCATTTGTCCTTTAAACTGCATGAACAACAGCACAACTAGATATGACGAGCTTTGCTCTGTAAGAAAACTCTACATTTTGTTTCTTTCTTTGTGTCTTTGAGCATTGTTCAGGAAATTTGTTTAAAAACTGTGTCACTTTAGCTAAATTACTTCTGTTTTCTGCAAATATTTTGTGTCTGGAATATTCTCATGTCGAGCCTCTCCGCTATTAGCTTGCTCTTTGGTCTCACAGATAGCTCAAATATTTGTAGCTCTGTGTTGTTCAATGCTTGGATGTATAATTCATACACAGTGCTGCAACGAGGACACAAACAGAAACAAAATGGAAGGAGGGCGGGGTGGAGTCATGTGTGACTGCAAAGCCCTTGGGAGGCAACAAGAAGACAGAGACGACAGGTAGACAAGCAGGTAGAGGAAGAGATGGTGAATGTGTAGGAGGTAAAGAGATGGAGCCACAGACGGTTTCCTACGCTTTGTTTTTGGTTTTCCGTTCAGCGTCGCATTCGTTTATTGTTTGCAAAACAAGGAGGTATTGAATTCGACAACACCGTGCTTGATTCATAAAGAAACAAGAAGCAGGAGATCTCTATTTTTAGAGCTTTCTGACACATATTAATAGTTGTACAACAAATACTGTGTTGTTCCGTTAACTTGTCAAGGCACTGCTTGCATCACAGTACACTTTTCCATCGATCCAACTTAATTTGATTCATTTTCTGCTTTGCCTCATTGATTTTGTGTGTTTCAGTCTCCTCACTGAGGAAAACAAAATTCACAGAATGGTATCGTTTTGTTGTGCGGGAGATAAATTTTAACAGCAGACAGCATCGGATATGACTGTCGCTATAAAACAAGCCTGATGGCTTAATAGAAGCTTGACTGAATTATGCAGCTGGGTGAGAGACTGCACTGCATGTCATTGAGGTAATCAAGTGGGTACCTGCTGCCTACGATGACTCATTGGATTACTGTCTGCTCAGACAAGACATGAGAAGGACAGGAAGTACAACACAGCAGCAGGTTTCTCAGCAGCATCTGCTGTAAATCACCTCGGATTAAAAACTGACTACGGAAAATGTAGAACATAAACATCATGGTGTCTGGTGGCAGAAAAAAAGAGGAGTATGGCTGTTCAAGTATGTAACATCAGTTTAATGCACGGGTTGTCATCTCCAGTGACATGTACTTGTTCCACTGAGGGGGCCTCTTGTCAAAAACCTGTTGATTTAAACTAACTTGAGGCAACTCTGTGCATCAGTGGCTCAAAACAGTGATCAAGTAACAGGAAATCCAGTAGTATAATGTCAATAAAATGCACACAGCATGGCTCACATTTCCCCCTCGTTCAAGGTTTACTGTTCAATCTAAGCTGCAAACATTGAGCATAGTGTTAGTTCAGGCAGGACATGATGTCAAGCTCAGCTCACATCTCAGCTACATCAGCTGATCTCAAACAGCCAATCAACTGATGGAGCAGCTGATTGATGGAAGGGAGTCAGCTGATAGATCACATGATTTCTATGCAACCAATTTGCAAATCTCATTCAGAGCACCCTATTTAAACTGCTCTGGCCTGCCTACTGTTGCTGCTTCCTCTGCAAGCTGCTTTGCAAGCCGCCTCCACCCCAGCTCCTCCTTTTCATGTTGTGTCTGACTTATCAATGTCATTTCTGTTTGTCATTGATGCTGATGGGTTCTGTTCCCAGGGGTCTTTGCTGCTGCTCTCCCTGCCTTAGGCTTTCCATGTAGGCACATGGAAGGGCAGGGAGGTTTGGTCTCTTTGCCTCAGGCTTTCTACGTAGGAGCATGGAAGGGCAGGGAGGTTTACTCTCTCCGCCTCAGGCTTTTCTCGTTTGCATGTGGAAGGGGAGAGAAGTCTTTGTCCGTGGGCCTGAGGACAGGCAGAGAGGCCCCAGAACAAAACCATACCGCCAAGTATAATACTGCTAGTGTGATACTGCTAAAGTGTTTCTGACTGAAATTTGTGTTTATTTTTCCTCATTTAATTTTTCAGTCGTATTTTAGAGTAAATCTGAGTGCTAAAAATGAGTCTTTATTTCACATTTTGTTAGAAAAACTTGGCCAGTGGCCTCCAGCAATGTGTCCTCACACAACAGTTCATACGACATCCTACAAATTAGCGCCCCATGAATGACATTAGGTCCTTAATGTGTAGTTATGTAATTATTATAAAGTTACAGAAGTTAGGTTTTGGGAAGTAAAGTTACTGTGGTTGGGTGTAGGAAAAGAAATATGGTGACAACGCACCTTAAAATGACTCATAGTTAACACAGTTCCAAACACTGGTCTCCCGGGAAAAAGTCCTAAATCCTTCTTTACGCCTGTCAGCGGCTGGCGGTTTGACACCCAGCTCCTCCAGTCCGCATGTTGAAGTATACTTGGGCAAGATACTGAACCCCAAATTGCTCCTGATGGCTGTTCCATTGCTGTGTCCAGAGCATGTGAATGGTTACTGAATAGCAGGTGGCACCCTGTATGGTAGCCTTGGTCACCAGTGTGTGACTGTGTGTGTGAATGGGTGACTCAGTAGTGTAAAAGCATTTTGAGTAGTTGGAAGGCGCTACACAAGTGCAGTCCATTTACCATTTACCATTAAAGGAATTAGTAATCAGTGTTGTATCTGATTATTATATCACAACTTACAACCAATCAGATTGCTTGATTTGACCTATCTGTTTTATAAAACTAAGTTTGTATTGCCCATGCATCATGATAATACTTTATTGTAGTATTTATGTTTTCGGCAGTTCATTGGGCAAGATTTCTCCTTTTCTTTGTGGTGCTTTATCATGAAACATCTGCAGGAACTTGTGTTTTAATGAGTTTTAATGACAGTAGGTTATCAGCAAACAATTATTGAATTAAAACTATACATTTGTTAAAAAGAAAAAGCAGTATAGACGATGTTGAATTGAATATTAAATGTGAGAGAAAAGCTCTTGCTCACTGAACGTTTGAGCTTCATGTGAGCAATTTCTTAGGAATCATCAATCACATATTTCATGCAGAAGTTAATATTATGGCTAATGCAGCTGCAGCTATATTGAGCGTATCCCTTAATCCTTTGTTGCTGCTGTTGCTTTAATCAGAGGTGGGAGTAAGTCACACGCAAGTCACAAGCAAGTCTAAAGTCTTAACCTTCAAATCTCAAGCAAATCCCATATTACTGGAATGAGAATCAAGCAAGTCAAGTGGAGTCCCTCCTAAAAGTCAAGCAAAATGGGTCAGTCATTGCTCAGGTTAAGCAAGTCACAAGTCAGTTCATGTGAAAGTCTGATGATCCGGTCAAACGTTTGACCAGTTGGTAAGCTAAAAAGACACATTCAGTTGTCTTTTGTTGTAGTTTTTGTAGTGATTGATGAAGTTGTGGTGGTTGCATCACAGATGTTTGAGCTGCAGACCTTGCATACCACTGTTCTTTCCTCTTGTTATTTCCTTAATTCTTTATTCCATATTTTTTTTACTTTTGGACTAATCGCCTCCATGATAGCGTTCTCATGCATTGGTGTCTGCTGCGTCCAAGTAGGTTGCCAGGTTTGCATGCATTGCACTAGAAATCACCAATCATGTGTCAAAAAGAAAACTTCTCAATATCTAGAAAAATGCAAACATTTAATTAAAAGAAAGTCAAGTCCTTTCATTTGTCTCAAGTCGAAGTCAAATATCGAGTCATGGATACCAAGTAAAAGCCTGGTCTTGTAAAGGTGTCTCCATGTCTCACAAAAATCCATTTTAACCTGAGTAAAACAAGCCTGCTTTATTGAGTTTCAAAAACACTAAATCACATTTGTCTCGACCATCTTAAAAGATGTGAGTTGAAAACGCTGAACCCTTTTAAGACTGACTTTAAATCAAGTGATGCTCACAGAATCAAATTCATCAAGAGTCATAATCTAATACTTTATTGCCATGTCAACAACATGATCTGATTTAATGTTTTATTGAATTTACTGCGTGTCAAGCGAGATAACTCCTCTTCCTCTCACTGACCCCCACTGCTCCTCTGTTTCTCCTCCAGGTGAAGGGAGAGGAGGGAAGTTCCACGGTGTCGACCTCCTCCAGCACTCCCCGTCCCCATCCCCCTCTCCAGGGGACCCCTTCCCCCACCAGCCCCGCTCCCTAGAGCCTGTCACAGACACCCTCCACCAGAACCTCCCCCTGAGGAAGACACACTCTGACCTCGACACATCCTTACCTGCAGGTGTGTGTGTCACCATTAAGGGAAGCACTTACCCGCCTATGAATGTTTTTCTTCTTTCTCGTGTTCCTGAAGTGCAGATATTGTCACTGCTCACAACTATCTCTACGCATCAACCACTAACTCCAATGTCAGCTGAAAGTCTGTTGGGATTGTTAAATACAATACATACTTACAAACTCTAAATTTTACTGCACTAGGTGTTTGTAGAAATGTGATTGACTGTGCTTTTAAACATTTCCCTTTTCATTTGATACCTTGGAAGACGGCAGAAATAGGACCATGACAGCTATTTTTTGTATGTTGTTTTATATTTTAAATCAACTTTTTAGTGAAACAAAGGTGACAAGATCAAAGATTTTATTTTATTTTGCGATTTATTTTTTTTTTTAAATTTAATCAGTGCTTGCTGCATTTTTGTGTCAATTCCCTTAAATGTAGCTTCGTAAGATGAATGTTTATATTCATACTTAGAGTAATCCCATGTTAAAAGGGGTCACTGTGGCAAAAAAACATCTCAATCATTTTTCTTTCTGCTTTTCACCCACCAAATTTTGAATTTAACAAAGAGGGATTAATGTTGTGTTAATCATTTCTTTCCCCTGTATTTGCAGTAATCGGTTTTGCTCAGTGAAAGATGGCGTCGCCGGCAGCCAGGATCTTTTCATGCTTAATTGGTTTATTCACTGCAACAGGGATACTCAATCGCAGGGTATGAAGGGTTCTTGTAAACAGTTTAACCTGAATCAGGCCTTAATTGCGGACGGGTGAAAAAAAGCAGAACATCTAAACTTGGCAGGTACCTGACATTTTAAAAAGTAGATTTAAATTGATTTTGTGTTAAGAAAAGAGATTAACTTCAGCAGTACAATTTTTCTGTCATTTGTTCCATGCCAGTGACCCAGTCCGGGATTAATTTTGGCAGGTATTTTAGATTTAGTCTTAGTCTTCGTCAAGTCACTGCCCAAAGGCCGGGTTTCGACAAGTGAGACCAGGTTGTTGTGGACGCCACAAAGGTTATGGTTGCTCAAAAGTTGCTACAGTTTTGTCAACTTTTAGTCAAAATGTTTTTCCCTTTAAATTAATGCAGTTAGGATAATACAGGTTATCAGAATTTCATTTAGACATACAAGTAATTTCTACATTTACACACACTTTTCTAGTAGAGTTTTTGAAAGGTTTAAAGAATGATTTCTGAACACACACTCTAAAACTTTGAGGCCATAACTATTAAATTTAAAAAGACAACTATTTGTACCCAGGTTCACTGTAAATTCAAACTCATCGATCTCACTGTTAAGAAGCAGAAAATATCTTTATTTAAGCCTGAATTATTTTTAAATCTACAACATATTAGTCTGGAGATATAAAGTCATGTCCTCTCACAGAATTAGGTGATTAAAACTGCACTTCAAGAGTGCTGCAATTCAGTGGCTAACAAGCGGGGCTAGCTGCTAACTGCTATAGCCGCAACTAACAACTCCACATATCAATTCAACAGCTCCACTGTTCACAGACAGACACACACAGTTGCTTATTTCCTGGCATTAACCAACCCATCATGGTTCAGTCTCATACACCTTATATGGGATTAGACAATGATTGCAAGCACAGTTGTCTGCTTCCTCTTTTAAAACATTTTTCTAATATTTTTCACAAAATAATTTATCATTCTGTTCTCTTCCTTTCATTTGAATGTCTGATAGTCCATCACTGACATTTTAGTCCCATCTCATCTTGTCAACCAAAAATGAATCGTACATTTTGCCATAGTTTTTATCAAAGATCTATTTTTTGCTTTGATATGTCTCCTCATTTGTCATGGTTTCAATTGTTTTCAATGTAAATTACCAAAATTAACACTGACCCAGCCTTAACAATTTATAACCCTATTTTGACTCTTGATTCACTGCAGAGCATGGCGAACAATATACCTACAGGTTGCAACAACCAATCACAAAAGGGGCCAAAATTACAGGAACACCCAAAATGAGTAGACATTCAATAATTAATCCAAAGGCATAGAGCCGGGCCAACATTCACACCTTGTAGTAAAAAGAACGCAACCAATCGTGGAGATCAACGGCCAAGTTCTGTAAAAGATTTTGTGCTGACAGTCTGCAGGAGTCCACAACTTTTCAGATATAAGTTAGCTGGCAAGCAGAGAGCGTGCAGTATATCCAAAGGAGTTATAGCTTTAGAAGTAAGCAAGACATTCAACTACATGCTGTTAAGGGTGATATACTCTGTCCATATCTTTTAATTTTTGGAGGGGGGTGTATTTGCTATAAAGTCTAATAGTTCTTTAAATGGGCAGCTATAGATAGAAACTGTTGAGTGTTCATTTCTTCATGCGAGTTTTTATGTCCAGTTGAGTTTGTTCTCATCAGTAGAGTTGTAATAATTCTCCCTCTTCCCCCTCCACAGATAACAATTTGGAGCATAGTGCTCCGGACCAGTTTCACCCAGGAACTATGGACCACTCTGGGCTGCTGTGCTCAAACACACCGTCCGCTTCCTGGAACGGACCTAAGGGCTCCACTTTTTCTCCTGGAGTGTGGAACGAACCTTACAAATACAGCACCAACAAAGGCCCAGCGGTCCCACCCAAACAGCACACCATCATCGGTAATTCAGGAGGAGGGACGCAAGACGGGGTGATGTTAGTGAGCTCAGGACAGCCAGCGAGCTCACATTCCAGTTCATTCACGTCTGTGTCGAACCCTTCTGGGAGAGGAGGGAATAACATACCAGGGATTTCACTGGCAACAGCGATGATGGGGAAGCGGAGCGAGACGGAAGGGGCTGCAGCGGATGGAGGGAGGGGAGGAGGAGGTGGGGGAGTTGGGGAAGCAGTGAGAGGGCGGGAGAGGTCGGCACGTTCCATAGCAGCGGCAAACGCCTTCAAGTTCCGGGAGCGTTCCCTTTCTACGCCCACGGATTCTGGTTCCTTCTGCTTTACAGAAGGTGGTTTAGGCCAGCCAGACGGGAACATCCTGCTTACAGGAAATGGTAATGCTATGGCAATAACAGACCAACAACAGCATCATAACTTCCTTGGTTTGGGTGAGAACTACGCCCTTCTCTACCCTCGAGGGAGCTCTGAGGACAGTGCCAGCACCACAGACACAATCTCTGTCACGGCTTCAGACTACAGTGCCGATGGCCGCTTGCGCCTACGCTCCCGCTCAATATCACTTAAGAAATCCAAGCGCAAGCCACCACCCCCTGTGAGGAGCGTCTCTCTTATGAAGAACCTCGGAGAAGCTGAGGGGAGAATCCATCATGAAGGCAGTCTTTACCGGGATGGCCGGCCAAAAAGCCTACACATTCCCAGGGACCACTTTCCAGACTTCCAGCCTGATTTCCTCCTGCCCAGCTCCTCCAAACCCATTGTTGCTGAGCGGGAGCTGGGCCATGGAGGTACTGATGGACCTCCAAGCCTGGAGGTCCAGGCACCAGAGAGGGAGGGAGAGACAGAGCTGACCTTCCCCACTCACTGGCAGCTAGGGGAGTGGAAGAATGACCCTTACAGGTAGGAAATGAAACTACACTTTACTTACTAGTTTCTCAATCCAGTTTGAATCTGTCTATCAGCCTGGTTTCAGCCTGCAACTTCTTTTTGTTGAGGATATCTTTTTAAAATGCAGTTAACATGTATAGGAAGTATGTAAAGAAAAAAGTACCCCAAAAGAGTTGCCCAAAATTACCTAATACTAAATTTGGCAAAGAACAGCAAAATCAAGTGATGTCTCCTGTGACTAATCGAAAAGCTTAGCAAAGCTCCAGGAGCACCATAGTTACCTCCATAATTGGGCCGGTGTCTGCTCTGGGGGTTGACAGCGTGGGAGTCAGGCAGTTTGCCGGTGGATTTGGGGAGTGGAGGAGGAAGTTGTTGGAAGGTAAAACTACAAACGACAGACTTTTCAGCTGGTTGCCACAGTTTGGCAAGCTAACGACCATCAGGACTGTGCTTCTTCCACTCCAAAAGTACAGTTGCAGATTGCTGGTAAACTATGCTTTGTCACCTTTGAAGAGTTTTATTTTTCCTTTGATTTGTGCAAGTAGGCTGAGGTGGAGAGACTAGAAAGGGAGAATTCCTGCGCCCAAGTCTTATAATGGTCTGGAAAAACTGTTGTTTATTCTGGCATCATGTTGGCTAAAAAAATGATTACGTAAATAAACACCCATGTAAACACAACAGGTAATATCAAGGTCAGCAAAATGATCAAGGTCATGTCCATTTAGCGTATGATTAGTTGATAACATTATGATTGACAGGCCTAACCTGGTTATTAGTTTTGTAATTGAAATTATTAAGCATTGGCTCTGAAGTTTTCTTGATGTTTGACTATAAAAAAAAACTAGAAATGCATTGAGTTCTTTTCTCCTTTCTTCTCCAGATCTCTTTCAGGCTCCAGCACAGCAACAGGTACCACAGTGATTGAATGTATGAAAGTCAGAGGCAGCTCAGAGTCCCTGCTCGATTCTCCCGCCACCTCCCGAGCCACCTCACCCTCACAGCTCTCCATGGAAACAGACATCAAGGCTTCCTCACCCTTTAGACCCCCAGGACTCATGTCCCCATCAAGTGGCTATTCCAGCCAGTCAGAGACTCCCACCCCAACTGTTCCCCTCAGTCAAATGGCAGGTCAGGGGACAGTAGGGACAACAGGAACATTGGGATGTAAGTTGCGTCCGAAGATCCCAGAAAGAAAATCATCACTACCATCGCCCAAGGACCCGGCTGCAAGGTCTAGGTTGTCCTTTGAGATGCCTGGGAATGCACATCTGGAGCTGTCATCAATCAAGCCAAAGCAAAAGGCCAGCAGACGACATTCTGACACTTCGACGGCGGCAAAACCAGGAAAAATCAGCCCCAGCTCCTCACAGGCACTGCCTGTTGTCACCCAGAATGAGCTCAAGACTGTTCGGCTTCGTTCAGTCTCTCGTGGTGACTTGGAGGACTGCCCTGATGGGGCATCTGACACCATAGAAGAAGAACAGCATAACCGAGACCTAGGCGAGGATCCCAGTCCGCCACCCACCCTCCCAAAACCCAAACCACCCGTCGCCATCAAGCCCCCATTACCCAAACGACCCCTAAACCTCCTGCTCAAGTCTCCTTCCCCCTCCTCCACCTCTCCTCTAGCCCTTGACTCACCTCCTGCCTCACCTGTGGACAGACCAGTGCCCCTGGGCAACATCTACAAAGTCATGAAAAAACCCAAACCCAAAAAACCTCCACCACAAACAACAAGTCCCTCTGGTCTCCCAGATTCTACCACCATTCCACAAACTGCCTATGATCATCATTTCCTCCCCCACTCCCAGTCCCTCTTTGATCTCCCTCCTCTTCCAGACCCACAGCCTCTCCTGGAAGACCCAGCACTGGAGCCTGAGTTTGATGTCGACCCAGAGATCCGTTCTGGGGAAGGAGGCTCACTCCCCTCTCCCTGTAGTAACCAGGAGGCCCCGGAGCTACAGGACAAGAGCAAGACCCTCCCCTCGAGGATGACAATCTCCTGTCTGGCAGAGCTGTCAGACAAAAAGAAACCCAAGGTGAGAAAGACATCTCTCTGAAAATGGCTTATTTGAGGGGCAACATTGCAGTTAAGGTCACTAAATGTGTCATTAAGGCAAACAGTGGAAATACAGTTAATGGAGGTAGAGACTGTCAATGTTGTAAACATCCTCTTTTTAAAGTAATTGTACTCAGGTTTCAGAATTGTTGCTGTACTTAATTTCTCATTTGTTTCCAGGTTCCACCTCCAGTCCCCAAGAAGCCGAATGTCCTGCTTCTTCCCTCGTCGGTCCACTCCACCAATGGCAGCACAGAACGTCAGACCCCACAGGCTGAAAGCCCTGTGGGTCTTCCGTCTCCTGTAGGAGCATTCCCACCAGAAGAGTTACCCGGCTCTCCCAGTGTTCCTGATATGCTAGAGCAAGATGAGAACCACTTGGATGACAAGTCAGAAGAGGAGAGTTCAAAAGAGTCATCACTTCAGTCATCTCTGCAGGATTCCTCCCTCACAGAGCTGGGAGGGAAAATGGCCAGCACTGGGATTGGGGCAGGTAAGGGTGACAGATTTTAGAAATTAATGCTCTGGCTTCATCACACAAACTGTAACTCCAGATTTACTTTAAACATTTAAAAGAAACATTAAAAAGGAGTACCCCTTTGAAAGTTTAACTTTTGAGGAGCAAATTTTTTTACCCTGTGGGTTTGAAAGGTGACTTTAATAAACTTGCTCATGGCGGCAGTTAAAATAGATTCCAATGGTGACCCAGTTCCAAAGTGAAATAAAAGGATCAAAATGTCCACAGAAACTCAAACCACTAAAACACACTTTTCTGCTTACCATCTGCACACTCAGTGTGTTCATATTTATGCCAAACATGTCCAACAGCTTTCATCTGATACTAGCATGGACAGCTATTTATATTTTTCTGTCATGTAAATGTAGTTGCGGGAGACAAAGTTAAACAGCTAACTACTAGGGTCAGATGAGAACTGTTTAACTGTGTTTTGGTAAAAATATGGGTATTCTTTTTCAGTGAGGTATTCTTTTATATTAAGTAGTTCATCAGACAATAAGAAATGTGATTCATTTGTTCATTGTCTTCCTCAAAAAGCTTTTCTATTCCACATTTTAGACACAGTTTCTAATGGCTTAGCTTGCTAGCAGCAAGTTCATTTTGGTAACTCACCTACTGTTGCAGTGTTTGATGACTAGATATATGTGCACTTACACATTTATTAGATATTTCAAGGTGTGGTTGTGTATTTAGAAGCTGTTTACAATAAAATAAACCTTACCATATACACAGTATTTCACGTATCCTCATTCAACGCTTCATATGATATCTAATGAATTAGCCCCCTGGTAATGGGGTCGTCATGTTACGAACTTAACAAAAAGTTACAGACTGAACTTAATGTAGGTGGGTTAAGTTTAGGCAAAATGCTCTGTTGGTTAGCTTTATCAAAGTTAAGTTTCATAAATTAGATTTAGGAGAAAAAAATGGAACAGACGTACCTTATTATAACTAAAAGTTTATTTAGTTTCACGCGGGACATGAACAACGGTCTCCTGGGTAAAAGTCCTGTTTTGTTTGACTGATCTAACCTCAAGCTGCCTCCTTATGTGGACTTTCGCTCTTTAAACTACTTTCTTCTTGAAGTGGGATTTATACATGTGCCTACACTATAGTCTATGTACATGCCCTACACCATTGTGAGCATTTATACTTGTGCAGTGGTGTGTCTGTGTCACTCTGCAGTTACACCTCTAAAACACTAGTCGGCAGTGGGGTTTCTGTGGAGTGCTGTAAAGTTGAGTTGATTCAAAACACACATTAAACACACATTAAACACACATTAAACTTGGCTTATAGAGACAATTTCAAACACAAGTACACAAATCAGCTTCACTATAACTCGCAGAAGACACATTTTCCCCACAAATACAACATGCTAATGTATTTAGTACAAGCCTACGGCATTTTACATTGTATGAATTAGCCTAGCAGCTAGCAGACTAGATACATGTGATCAATGATAGCCTGTCAGAGCTGCTTCATTTGATTAGGATCCTTCCCTGCTGTATTTGATACATTACCTCCTGATTCTGCCAGCAAAGATTTCTCCGGTTTTGAAGCAAATCAAAGCCAAATCGCTCTAAAATTGGACTAAATCAAAACACAGGCTGGTTCCCACTGTTTGTAACAGCGAAGATGACATTTATCATTATTATGTAATTATTAGCTGAATGTAACTGATTCAGATTTACCTGAATTGCAAGGGACATACACAGGTATTATGAATGTTGGCTTTGGCCAAACAACCACAAAGCCAGCAGAAATTTACAGACATGATGTGTTAAATTAAAAATATGTCATTTACAAAAACTACATTTTATTTGATGTTTTAAAAGGATTTCTCTGTCTTGTTCAGATGACTCAACAGCCAATGAGAAGACGGTACTCCACATCGCCGAGGAAACAGACGACGACTTGTTGGCCAGCACACCTGCAACGCACACCACCGAAGACCTGTTCACTATTATTCACAGGTTTGAACATGCACACATATACCATCAATACACATTTCAGACATACAGTATACATCCATAATACAGTATTTACAAGCAGTAATATTACAGTAAATGCTTCTCCGTGCCATTATAAACTTATTCTGATGGCACAAATGGTTTAAGCCAATGCCAAGCTTGTCCGCCTGCTTATTATAACCCAAAGCATGTGACCAAAGATGCATTGTCTTGTTGAAAAGGTGTAAAGCGGACAGAGCATAAGGTTCCCTAGCAACAGCTACACGTACAGTGTGTTACTGCATGACCAGCGGCCCTTTTTTGTCCTTTTCTCAGAATCTCTCTCACACATACACACACATATGGATGCAGGCACACACAGAGAATCACAAGAAAGCTAGTCTCTAAGCAACAAGTGTTCATGATTTTACCTTGCATGAGGCTGAAAATAGCTTGAAAGGCAGAGAAAAAAAAAAGGTGAGGAGGGGGGAGAAGAAGAACAGGAGTCAATGTTTTTATCTCTTACAAGAAAGGATGGAGTCCCTTCTGTAGTAACATGCTTTAAATTCTTTTATTCTCTAAAAGGAGGCATGTCAATCTAAGTGTAACCCATCAAGCCTGAGGAGTAAATTTCAAATTGTGAATTCAATCAGTCAGAAATGGTGGTGAATTTAAATATGCTTCTATATCTTCCCTCTCCACCTTTAGTAATAATCTTCTCTCTTCTCCCAGGTCCAAGCGAAAGGTTCTGGGACGTAAAGAGCCAACAGACTCCTTTGGCAGCCGCCAGAGCCTGGTGTCCCCGGTGAAGCACAGCACCAGCGGTAGCGACCTCCGAAATCTGACCTTAGGCAGCAGTCAGAGGTCGAGCTCCCGCAATGAGAACTTCATGGCCCTGCTCCAGAAGAAAGGCAGCAAGTCTTCCAGCGGAGGAGCCAGAGTCTCCGCCATGGAGCTTCTCAAAAGCACAAACCCGCTGGCGCGACGGGTCACAGAGTTTTCAAACACCACGTCGACGACTGGCGAGGGAGGAGACGTCGCATCCGGGAATGGCAAACCCAACGATCAATGAACGGAAGTGTTGTCAACGGATGTTAACCAGGTCCGTTTGCTGTTGACAAAGCTACCAACCAATTCTACAATGTGCCACCCACTGCAGATGGGGCCTTCTGACTCACATGTCCAACTGGATTGCTCCAACTACTGATTGACCATTTGCACTGTCCAATCAAATTGGAGCACATATTTGGACAAAATGGTCCCTCCCATGGTTGAAGCACTATTGTTCCCTGTCAAACTGGTCCCTCTAGGAGAGCGAGAAATCTGTGGAGAGCAAAGTTCATTCTCACTATATTTTCACTGAAAGTTGGAGGCTTTAGGGTTACGTTTCAACACTGCTCCGTGTTTTCCTCATTGGGGATAAGTTCAGTGTGGATGCTGGATGCACAGATGGATGGGTGGAGTAGACACAGGAAATATAGGGATATACAGTGGATATCTTTACTCCTGACTCCTGAATGAAGACAACAGTCCCTGATGACAACAATGGTCATATAAATGAATCTGTAACCAGTTATACTGATCCACAAGGATACCACAGAGGATCAGTGATCAAATGAATTCAAGAAATGAATGGAATAAAATTCAGAAGATGCAAGACCTCCTAATGATTCGTCTACGGTTTAACCGAAACCCTCCAACCAGTAGCGCTACAGCACCCACACCTGTAGACCTACGCGAATATAAGGATAAGTTATTAAAGGTGCGATGATGCATCTGAAAGAGCAAGCATGCCCAAAACGTTGGGCATCATAACTCTTGTTCTCTCTATGGTAAAGGCAATACCATAGCAGGCATCAGCATTGTCAGAAAACTGAACATTCTGATCTGAGCGGATGAAGCGCAGGGTTTACAAAGAAAAACCACATGGGGGCTTTTTGCCACCAAAGATGAGGCATGAGCATGTCACAGATTTTGTCGCTCATGCGATGAACACGAACCTTCATAAAACATTCCACAGAAGCACCTAGCAAATGGACGGCAATTTGGAACGCAAGCACTTTTCTTTTTCCGTGGCATCGGAGGTCATTTCGATGGCGCACCCTTTGCGTCGCTACATTTTTTGCCTCTCATCAATCATTATTTTTCCAGTCTTTTTTACATTTTTGTTTTCTTATATTTTTCCTACACATGCTAGATGGCCATATTCTGTACATGTTTCATTAGACTGTTCTGTATGTATCATGTACAAAGATAAATGTAACACATCTATCAACGGATATCATTTGCAGACACAAAGACTAAAAATAGTGTACAGAGCAGCAAGCAGCTTGGACTTCAAACTGCCCACACCATGGAGGGAAAACACACTCAAGCACACACACACACGCACACACACACACACAGACTAAGGAGTAACGCCATGGAAGACAAACAGAACAGACCGGAACAGTGTGTGTGTTCATACGAGTGTGTGCGCAGATGAAATCTTGCCTGTGGAGTTTCTGTACGGAGAGCATGAAGCAGGCCTGGTTATTAAACAGGGTTTTTATTCATTTTGGTCTCTGGTGACGGGACCAAAGGACTGTTAAAAACTACAAACAGACCAGAGGGGACCTAGCGGTGTGTATGTGTGTGTGTGTGTGTGCTTGTGTGTGTTTGTGTGCTTGTGTGTGTTCATGTGCATGTATAGAGGGAAGTGCCAAGAACAAGACAGAGAAGAAAGAGAAAGAGAGAGTGCACGTACATGTGCCTGTTTATGTGTTTGGCATTTTTGTGTGTGTGTCCTCACTACGTGTGCATATTTGTGTGTGAATGTGTGTGTGTGTGTGTGTGTGTGTCCTGTCACCCCGCAATCTTTCCTTGGGATAGGATTAGAATGACCTAAGCAGACCCCCTTAAACCATACATTACAGAACCATAAGGATTTCGGAACCAGAAGGGATTCCGCAACCAATAGGTTTCTGGAATCAAGAGGATTGAGAACCAGTGCATTAGAGAAGGAAAAAGGATTCCAGAACCCAAAGGATTCTGGAAAAACTGGCAGAGTTTGGAATTCGGGAATGAGGGAGTCTTGTGATGATAGAACCACCTGGTCATAACAGCACCAATCTTGGAACACAATCTGAGGTTCAGACCTAGGTTTGAAAATGATTTAGCATATGGGGGTAAGCGCCAATATTCCATTGATTCCGGTGTAGCCAGCGATATCTGGATATTCAGGCCAAGACTTCGTCATTGTCTACTGTAGGGATGCACGACGATATATCGGCACTTGATTGGTATCCGCCGATACGGATACGGTATTTTGCACAATGAATGACTATTACATACATTGAAAAGCATTCTATTTCATGTCTCCATCTGCTGGTGGGCCATCATGAGTATCAAGAGTCATCAAGAGTATGCATGAATATTATGATGTTAATTCCACTACAGAAGAGACTTGATGATAGAAATATTGGTCTCAGTTATTGGTCAAATGAGTTGTTACATATAGGCATATCGGATATATATCATGCATCCCTAGTTTACAGTCCGACTGGCAACATGAGATGCTATATAAAGAGAGTCATGGCACTCTGTAAATGGATATCTACATGTGATTAATTAAAGGCTAAATTGTCTTCGCACAATAACTGGTGTATTTCAAGATGATGCCATTCCATTGTTCAGACTGCCCAAAATTCCGAATCCCCATTAGTCTTAAGAAGGTCCCACTGGACTGAAAGCCTATTTCTCCAACAGCCTGTTATCCCAAAAACAAACGCCCATTGCTCAAAAGTCCTGTTTCTCCAACAATGCACACTCCCTGCAGTTAGTTTCAGTTTCTCAATAGTGTTCTAGCCACCAATTCTGAGTGTTTTTATCAACCCTTTGTGTATTTGGGCCACCTATCCCAGGTCTTCTACCTACCCTTTGTGGCATTTCCTAGTCCACCGAACCCGATTTTCTGCCACTTAATGTGGGTGCTTCAAATCAATACAGGATCTTTTCCTAACCTTAAACAAGTGGACTTTGTGCCCAAACCTACCCACACATTCACCACAATGTCGTTAAGATACCTTAAGTTTCAGCGTACCTGCTACAAAATACTGTACAAATGTACAAGTCTAACATTTTTTCTGGTGATTGGGTTGTCTAGCTACAGGCAGTGTGTATTTTTGGAGAAACTAAACTTCTTCGGAGTCATGGGTGTTTGTTTTTTGGATAACGCGCTTTCAGCAAAATGGGCTTTCAGTTCAATGGGAAATTTTTTGGGGCAGTCGGAACAATGGGCAGTCCCCTGTGAGACTGCGTTTCGGCTAATGCGTTCCGCCTCTCCACAGGATCTGTTTCCCAGCATCCAAGCAAAGCCCACTCAGATGTGATATGTCAGTACTCTCCAGACTTCAAACCACCGCAAATGGAAACCAGAACATTTCTGATACCAAAATCTTGTCCTGTTGTCAACAGATTCTGCATTAATATGCAGATATCTGTTTATAGAGATTCCTACAGCTCTAGCCAGAGAATCCGTCTGTCTGCACTGTCGCAGAGTGACATTACAGGAATAGTTTGTTTGTTTTGCCCTCCTCCGTGCACGTTTTTCACACTCTGTATCTTTCGTCTCGGAGGTGAGGTGGTGGTCTGCGATGCCCTCCTCCTCCTCCTCCTCCTCCTTCTCCTCCACCTTTCCACTCGTTCCTCTCCTCCTTTCATCGCTGCTGGAGAACACACTCCATCTGTCTCTCTGCATATAGCATCATCTCTCTTTTTCTCTCCTATAATCACTCTTCTTTTGGCACATACAGTAGCACACTCCGTCTCTCTCCTCGCCTATATACTGCAACCTCTCTCTGTTTTTACACGTAGCACCGCCTCTCTATCCTTTCCTCTTTTAACCTTCTCTCCATCCTCTCCTCCCTCCCTGACCCTCCCCCATTTTCTGTTAACCTTCCCCTGTCTCTCCCATCTCTCTTCTCTCTCTTCCCTCTCTCTGCATTCAGTCTATGCATCTGAGCTCGGCAGACGACACGACACCGGATGAATGTCAATGAATGACTGTTAAGAAAATAGATGCTGTGCTTAGTTTGAGAGTGCAAAAACAAACATCTTTCTGTCAGCGCTTATCTTCTGCCTTCTCTCTTTCTTGCTCTGAGTTTTTATACTTTTTTCCTTTTGAGTGTAACATGGATTTAACATGGGTGAATGGATGGGATCTGTGCGCAAACACAGAAACAGGCAGGGTTTGAATGTGTTTTTGCATAAAGGACCTTTACTTTCGGACTGTGAACGAAACACCCTGTGGTATTTAACCCCCGACCGACCCTCAGTTCTGGATCAGCGTGTGGATGGTCTGAGAATTTTGGATTAGCAGTGGTTCAGCTCTAACACCTGACTTATCCCCTGCATGGATGGACCGTGTGGAGGGAGGAAGGAAACTATCCCTCGGTGCTATTGAGTCAGAGCTCCCCCTAGTGGATGGAAAAGGAGGAACCACACATAGCAGGAGAGTTTAAAAAAAAAACTCCTTCACACGCATCTCTCTTCCCTACAACAGTCCTTCAGGTATTCCATCATCCTGAAAAAGAGACGACGATTTTAAAAATGCATAAATTATCACCATTTATGATGACTAGTCAAGTGACGCTTGTTTTAAATATTTAGTGAATGAAAAAAGATAAACCTATAAAACTCTGTGTTTGTTTGCCTTGTATACTGAATTATGGGCGTGTTGCTGCAGCGCCTGCTGTGTTTTTTTTTAAATTTCATTATAATTATTTTTCATTTCAGCTGCCTTGGTAGTGCATACACAAACAACCTTTGCAAAAATCTGGCCAAAATAACAGATTTAAAGGGAGCACTTATGTTATATCTGAATCTGAACTGTAATGAAAAGTTCGAAAATCTGGTGCCTCAAGTGACTCAGATATTTTAAGTATTAACCAAACCAATATTTGCCCAAATCTGCATTCATGCACAGGTATGCAGAGTGTGGCAGTGTGGTGATATTTTTCTCCTTTCAGAGCAATATCCCTCAGAGCGATCACAGATCTGAGATCAGATAAGTGAAGCTGGAAGGGAGATCAAAAAACTCCAAAACACAATTTGAACTAAGCCCAATAGATTTTGTTAAAAATGTGGAAACAGAGAAAAGAGATATGAGCAGAGTGTTAGGAGACAGAGGATGTGTTGTTTCAGCACAATAATAACAGTAACAGTGTGTTGTCGAAAAGTACAATGTGGTGCGTAGATGCATGACACATCTAAAAATGGGGGTGTAAAAGGATACGATGTGTCAGCGTGTTTCAGTGTGTGTCAGGGTCAACAAACCACTGTGTTGGATCTATATGGAAGCAAATAAGTGTTCAGTATCAGTATTAAGATCCAGGTTGCTCACATTCAGTTGGTTAGATTTTAAGGCTGCCCCCGTCTAAGAATTTTCCTGGTCAACAATTTAGAGCCATTAGTCAACTAGTCACCTGCATGTTTACAATACTAAGTTCAGGGTGTGAGAAAGAATAGTATCAGTAACATTGTTAACACTGTGCTACATTACAGAGAAATACAAACCGTACTAATGAACCTTCATTAATATAGGCCTATATTTTATCTACAAGTGCACGTCACACACTGAGCGAGCCGCCTGTTAATGACGTTGGCAAAGCAGTAATGATTGTGCTAAGTGGCTAATGGGCATGTAGCTACTGACATGTTTCAGATGATACGTCATGTTTGTAGTTGACCAATGAAGATGAGTTTCCATATCACCTTGGGTTCGTCCTTCACCTTCTCAAAATGATCCCACACTTTGGATTTCCTGCCCGACATGTTATTAACTAGCCTGTGGAATAACTGCAGGTACCAGCCCTGGAAATTAACCTGACTCCTGTCTGACTGCTGAGCGTGGCCACTTCCTGTGTCTGTCCTTTCAAATTAAATTCCCACATGGTCCAGTCATTCAGGTTTTGATTTATTATGGCAAGGCGCAGCTCCTAATAGATTAAGCGACCAATGAAATCTTGCTGACTAATGACCTTTCTGGTCAACAAACGTTTGGTCGACTAATAGGGGGCAGCCCTATTAAATTCAGATCCAGAAATTCAAGTTCAAACTTTTCAAATGGCAACATCCAGGCTACCCAGCCTATCCTGTCCTGAGGAGTGAGGAAGTTGCCTTTTGAAATGTTTTGACTTTGACCAATCAAAATTGAGCATTTTTTTTTTAATTTTTGAACATCGAAAAGACTATATTCAGATTCAGCTTTTGAAATTGCAAATCATTATATTTGAGGTTTTAATTTCATAGAGCTGAATTGATTTTCAAAGTAAAATATTTTTTGTTTACTTATTGAATGGCTGTTAAAATTCAAATACTTATTTGCTTCCGTAGTTTTACTTCCTGTGTAGACGGACGGCAGATTTCTTCAACAGGAAACATTTGGTTTGACAGTCTTTTATGAAGAGTTTAGGTACAAACAAAGAAACATATGGGTACACTGGTAAAAGGGGTGCTATCCCTTTTGTAGGGATACAATCATTTAATATTGAGAATAATATGTAATTTTTTTTACAGATTGTTTTTTTTTTCCGGAGGCAGAGTTGCACTGGAAGCAGAGATAATCTCATTGGTTGTGTTTCTGCCAGCTTGTTGACATATTTCAGATACTTCTTAGGTCTACTAGCAACAAACTTACCTAAAATGGGAACAGTTGGTCCTCTGTGTATTTGGTTGAGTTCTTCCCAAACACACACACACCAACCAGTGAGAATATTTTAGCCAGAAGAGCAGCTCTGCCTCCAAGAAATGTCTGTAGAACTAAATTACCAATCTCTAAAATATGTTGACAGCATATTATATTAGAAAATGACGTTTATATAGAGTGTGAAAAGAGCTGACACTAGAAATATATTGAATATTTAATCCATTATCCCTTCTTTAGGAGTAGGGGAGAGAGGAAGGAGGGGGAATGAGGGTGTGGAGCAAAGGTTTGATTTTGCTGAATGTGGGGATTACCACGCTGAAATTTACACACGCTCCATCATCTTTTCCTTCACCTCCTCCCTCCCTTCTTCTCAGCTGTCGTGTGACTCAGAGGAGTAATCATGTTAAAAGCTTTTCCCTCTCTCTCACTCTCTCCTTCGCTTCCCTACAAAATGATAAAAAGGTACGGGAAAGCACAAAAAGCACAGAGCGCTGCAATGGCTCGTTAATTAATTTGGTTTAATTTTACAGTTGGTCTCTGCAGATACAGAGCAGCCAAACAGCAACCTGTTGCTAAGAGACATAAATAAAAGCTGTGTAGAAGAAGTTGGAGACTTGGAGTTCAGGCAAGGATAAAACTCTCTAAAGCCAACAGAAAGATTTATCTGAATAAGCTTAACAAAGTTTGTGTAAATGACATGTTTACAGTCATTTGTTAAGGATAATGAATAGAGCTAAGAAACGACTCCAAATGCAATATCAGCATGAACAAATCAAACGTCCCTTCAGACGTCAGACTCCAGAACAAAGTGAACCCCAAATCACTGCAGTATGGGCTAACAAATATAATCTGTCAACGACACAAACACTTACATTAATCAAACTATTATTTACCACTTTGTAGAGAACTCTGCCACAACAGGCACAAAAGCTTTAAAATAAAAGCAGTTGTTGACATTCAACAAACACATCACAGCAGATATATGACCTGAGAATTTGAGAACTTTACAAAGGACTGCACTTTTATAAAGTTAACAGCTCATGCTACGAATACAAGTTCTGCCACCCACCCAGAACCTTACAAAGTATCATGTTCAGGTTCATTTTAGTGTGTAAAATCATGTTCATCATGTGTTGTAAGTAGATTTGCAATATCCAGGACGGAAGAAAGAAAGTAAAAAGGAGTCAGGTGACGTGGTATAAACAGCAACAATGTCCGCATGACGCCTGCAGAGGTAGGAGGTCAGGGTGGATGTATGGGTCAAACAAACACAGGAGTTTTACCCAGAAGACTGATGTTTGTGTCCCGTGTAAAACCAAGAGTCATAGTAACAAACTTAACTTATACTTAACATAATCATGATCTTCTTTCTTAACCTGACCACGTAGTTTTGATTCTTAACTGCGACTGTTTCACAAATATACTGTAACTTTGGGTGTCACGTTTTTGGCCAGTGCAGAACACCACCTATAATACAAAACCTGGATATTTTGGCTGTAGCTCATCACAACATAGTGGCACTCATCCCAAAGCCCAAAAACATTACCACTGAAAAATTCAAAAGCATTATAGCTCGTCCTATGTACACTGTAAAAACTGATACTTCCTTAAAAATTACAATAAAAAAAAAAAAAAAGTGGCAAGAATTTGCACTAATTTTGTTGATTTAAATCAACTTGTCTTGTTTTTAATTAAACAGAATTCAAATTTATGTATTTAAATGTATTCACTAAATTTCAGTACTGGATAATTACAATTACAATAATTATAATCACTTCAACTTAATTATATTAAGTAAATTTTACTCATTTGTTGTAGTTTAAGGCAACACTGTTTTCAATATTTTTCTATTTTTATGTTGAATTAAGTTTATTTTATCATTAGGTTTTAAATATGGAATGTATGTACAGCGAATGAATTGCAGAAATTTTTTTAATTACATCAACTTAATTTTGTATTTTCTAATAGGTGCTGAGAGTAAACATAATACAAAAAAATACTTTCATAACATTTATTCAAAGAGACAAATCATACAAAAACAGAACAGCATGTGATCATATCAGAAAATGTTCTCATGAAAGTCACCAAATTTGATTAAAGCGCATCCAACATCAGATGTGTATACAGTACATACTGCCCCAAATACTGTAGGTTTCACTGAAAGCCAATGGCACCGAAGAATCTCTTTGAGTTTTTCAGGTGTTACTTTTTGTCGCTTTGGGTGCAACCAGTCCAGTGTTGACTTCCACTGACTTGTGATGAGCTGTACAAAATCATGAATCACACCAAAACTTAGAAGGCCTTGATGGAGTCTATTTCTGGGGTCCCTTTTGCGTTACGAGAGAGTGAAAGAGGGTGAAAAAAGAAAGAGGGGTGATGGTTGCAGATTTGGGCCAAAGAGTAGCTTGCATTTGTTTTTAGGAGTGGCAGATGGGTGGGGTTTACACTGTTTGGATATTTTAAATAGGCATGATGCCCATCACATCATTCACTGGTAAACCCCACCCATCTGCCACACCAAGCAAACTTAAACAAACCCCCAACCCAATTTTAACCCCAGTTTAGGGGCTGTACAGGCAGCTTATAAAGACACAGAGATGATAATTAGAGAGACATAGAGAGAAAGAGAGACAGACAGAGTTATTGGAATTATTCTATTTTTGTTATTCCTCATTGAAAAAGACATATTTAAAGGAATATTCCGTGTATGTATTGAATAACCTCTGTTTCCCCACCCCATCCAATGGTGTGCTCTGTAGCTGCGAGGTAGCGTCTCACACAAACGCTTCCTTCTGCAGCTATGCAATGCCAATGTGATGAAATTATTATATCATTATAAATAAATTATTTTTCTTGCTTAAAAAAAAGGAATGTTTTGTTTGTTTTCTCTCCCACTGTTGTTTGTGCTTTCTGCCCCGCTAGTCCTCAAGGTTACTCTCTGAATCGGTATTAATGAGTCTCCCTGAGGAGGCAACAACACTTTAGTTAATTGGG